TTATTGACTTGCATTGTCTTCTTTATAAACATGTCGGATAATGGTCAGACGTGTAATTGGAGATTGTGCACTCTTTGGGGCCAATATAATTAGCTTCACAGGAGTAAGTGAATTTTTAAACACTCATTGAAGTGATTCAAAGCCGCTTCGGAAGCAAGTTATACTGGCTGTGTAAAGCACACTCCGTCTAAAAGCGTTTCTGAACAACAACATTTATTCGACGGTGAGAATATCTAAGTTAGTCTTGAGTAAGTAGACCGTCCGTTACTAACGACTGGAGGTATGGTCAGGCAGTGTAAAGAATGAGATACAGAACCCAAGTGCAATCAACCAGCACTATATTTATTTGTAATTTCTCCTGTCGCTTAACTATTTGTGCAATTCATTATTATTATTTATAATTGTTCCCTTAGGTTCCTAGTGGAACATAGGCCTTCAACTGCTTCAACGTCTCCACTTGCTTCTGTCTTCTGCTGTACTTTTCACCTGCATCCATGTTAGTCCATACTGTTTCAGCTCCTCTTCACACCATCTCCTCCATGTAACTCTTGCAAATATTCTTTGTGACCCGCCAAGTTTCTAATCCGTATAGAAGAACTGACTTGACGTTTGTATTGAAAATCCGAATCACTTTGTTGTTGATGCTGAGTTGAGTGACGAAGATTTCCAGATTAGTTTCAGGTTGATGAATGTGTTTCTCGCCTTCCCGATTCTCGATTTGACATCCTCGTCCGTTCCTCCTGTGGTTGAAACAATGCTCCCTAGATAAGTGAAAGAAGTAACCTCTTTCAAATCCCTCCCGTTGATGGTGATTGGCATTGGATGTTGCTGCTGTTGTTGGTTGGTTATTTTCATGACCACCGTCTTGTCTGTGTTCACCTGGAGTCCTTCCTGTCTTTGCTGCTTCTTCGACCAGTTTGTCGGTTTTCGCTTGTAAGTCTTCGATTTTGTGTGACATCAAACATAAATCATCCACGCGCGAAATCCAGGTCTTCTAGGTTCTTCACTTCGGTCGGTCCAGGATATCCCTGTCTTCTCGTTTCCCACTGTCTGACGCATAATCCAGTCCACCACAATTAGGAATATCATTGGTGATAATAAGCACCATGTAAGTGTGTACCTTCTTTCACCAATGTGTTTTAGGTAATAATATAAACTTGGTTCTTTGCATTTATTTTCTCTGCAATTAGACTCAGTTCATAACTAGAGGGAACATATTTCTCTGAGGTATCAATGCTAATCAACTTTTCTTCGTTTGTTACTAGACATGACTTTGACAATAAAAAGGAATTCAAACTGATTAGTAGACAGTATGGTTTAATTTTAAATAGGCTAGCAGAAGCTTTTATGATTAAAAACATCACGTTTAACTGCATCTCACTTATATTTATAGTCACTTTGATAACCCACATGGCTGACTTTAAAATGTTGGTGGTAACTATTGCCTATTAACCGAATGTAACTGTAACAGTCTTTTGACAGGAGTCAGGTGAGCAGTGACTTTATTTGAGGTTTAATAGGCAAGTTTACATTTAAGAACCAGTCTACAGGTTAGAAGAAACGAACGGTTTCTACGTAGACTAGAGGTATTGACTTCAGTCTTCATAACTCTGTGGTTGATAAAAGTGTAAATGATGACATCACGTAGAAATTTCCTTCTCCATGAATCATTTTCAAAAGAAACAACTGTATTTATATTTATTTTATTATTTTATTATAGCTTGATTGCACACCGTAATTTTGATACAAGTATGACATTTTCAGCGTGTGATATCGGTAGCCCAAATTTAGCAGGTCGACCATAGATATCAGGTATGCGTCGGCTGGGCATCGAACCTCGAATCATGTGCATGGTCGACGAGAGTCCTAACCGCTGTGCCACCGACGCACAAATAAGTTCATAAAACCAATCAAATACTGGTAATTGTACTCTAGAAAATGTTTCATTTCATGTGAGGAATAATCCAGAGGGATACATTCATTGGCCGATGTTATGTGTCTGGTTCTTTGTATTGTTAGAAACTACATTCTACCAGTCACGTTTTCAGCGTGATCACCAAACCACGTGACTCGCCACCTTTGTGCATTGTGAAGTGATGTTACTTAGTTGGAGGCAAACGAAGCCCTATTCCAAGTTTTTATGCTTGTTAACACTCGTGAGCGAGTCGTATCTGTAACCTCGAAGGTCTGCAAAATACATTAGACACTGATACCTTGAGAATCACATTCTTCAACAGACGGCTACCTCAGACATATGTCAGGGAAAAGATACCATTTCTGACTCCCTCGATGTGCATTTATCAGTTTGCTTGTCCTTCTAAGGTGAAGTGTATCGGTTGTATGCAGAGTCATGTCGGCAAACGTAATTCGGAACACTGTCCAAGATGGTTAACCGGGTAGGATAAGAAGCATCATTTCAACTCTGGACAGCAGGCACTCATGTTTGACTGTTTCCAAGTGATATAAAAAGCTCCCCGTCATCGCACAACAGGGTTTCAAAAACAATATGTATACAGCAAACTTACTGGCTATTAAAAGACCTCAAATCAGACCTCTATGTTCAAAAGAATTACACACACTCACCATACCAAGGTGAGAGCAACACTATTCGCAAAATGTTGTTTCATTTCACTGTTCCGTGTTTAGCTTGCTATTACATTTATAATCACTGTTACCACGGTTCACTAGAAGCATCGCATTTATCATACAGATCTCATCAAGACACTTTGCTACATCTCCATTTTGTCCATTATGTACAACCAGATTGATTAGATTACTTTTACACTTACAAAATAATACCAACTACCCCACTTTTGCATTCCCGCAACATTGTCGCATTACGTAAAACATCTTTTCGAGTGTGACTACCATTATTAGATTGGTTTTACAAATTTATTCGTTGAATAAAAACATTATTGTATAGCTTTTGGAAGTGATTCGTCAAAGAGAATTATTTCATTATTATATCTTATAACTTATTATGGGGAAGTAAATGATACTGCTTCATTGGGTTATATATCTATTAAAAAGGCTAAAATAGAAGTACTTCTAGTCGACGGAAAGATTAAATGGCTTTGCCAACTATTCTAAGAGTTATACGTTAATTTTCGGGCAACCCCCCAAAAGACGAGCAAGTGTCTATCGGTGTTTCGGCCTCGGGTTTCCACATTCTCTTCGGAGTCACTATTTCGATCAGAGCAAACAACATCTCAGACCGCGTTTCGACCCTGAACACCCTCCACCAAACATCCTTTTAACTCTCCCTGAAAATAGTTGATGTTATCCCCGCTCTTGTCCGGCCTCAACTTCTTTGAGAGTGGCTGCTCAGATGGTATATTACCCATCTATCTCAATTGGTCATGACCACTCTGGCAAGAAAGTCTTACAAAAGCATACAACCATTATCCTCGTGAAGAGGACACTCCTGAAATAGGCCTGACGAGAATACCGAACATGTGGATGATACTTCCCGATGGCTCTCTCCATATCCGACCACTCAGTAAGGTTTGGCCATAAGCCTTGGAATCACACCCGAGTTACCAATTACATCTAATTTGTTGCATATTTATTATACGATTCAGACCAGTAAAGCAATACAGCCTGTAACGTCATCCAGTCTTCTTCTACAGACTAACTCATTTTTACTAGAAAATATGTGACGAGTTGGTTAGAATTACCTTGTAATCTTAATAGCCTTCACAGCGTTATTTGCAATACGGAGTAATATTTCTTCGAAAAATCATAACAAAAGGCAACTCTAAGAGAAGAAGCTAGATATTTTGATAATAAAGCATCAATGAGAGTGCATTCACAAAAACAGACGCTATCAATGATCGGTGTGATTTCGTTGACTTAAAACATGGTAACATTCCAGTTTTCCATCTTTGGATGAATCCCTGTTAAAAAGGCTTGTAATGGTGCATTCTTCCAAATTAATCTGAGTGTAGATATGACTTTTTTATCTGAGACATATTTTCAACTTCCGGTATACAGGGATTTTGATTGATTCGAAGAACGATTACGAACTGACTTCAGCTAGAGAACCATTGAAAACCAGGGAGTACTGGACAGTTGTTTCACCCCAGTTTGGGACTCATCGGCAATACGTACCCAAAGGACGAAGTTGCCTGGAATTCTAATGAGAAGTCGTGACCAGTGGGATCCATCCGGTCGGGAGTGACAACAAACGCTCGTCAATGACACTGGCTGGTGGTCGGGATAAAATCATGAATTGGTATAAGTTAGAGTCAGGTCCCAGTGACTGCATTGTCTATGAACTTGACTAGCAACCAGAAGGTTCCAGGTTCGAACACCAGTGGGCGCGAACCGACCATGAGTCCCAAACTAGAACAAAACTGTTGTCCATATACTCTTTCATCTAACCGTAAAGAGAATTACGAGTGGACAGATCTTAGAACTGACGGGTCACCTGATTTTTTCTCAGTGGCTGAATGGTAAACAAGTTCGCTTCGTAATCTGAAGGTTCTGGGCTCTATGTGTGCGTACTGATGAAGAATCCCAGGTAGGGACGAGGCAGATGTCCAGTACTATTTAGTGCTTTTCAATAGTTCTCTAATTGAAGTCAGTTCGTGATCAATCTTGAAATGAAACATATTTGTGATTTATCTTTCCGTTTTTAATGTGTCCCATTTCTTGTTGAATGACCAAAACGTCCAGTCTCCGCTGAACATACCAGCTGCTAGTATGGACGCTTCAACAATAATTGAAGGTTAGCATCATGTTGTTTGACTGATAGTCGTTAGCAATAGAACCCAGGATACCAGCAGGTCTAGTGGATAACACCTTGCGGTTCGAAAAAATGGATGCTGGGCTCCAATCTCAACGGGAAGACGATCACTCACAGGGGATGCAGGTACACCCAGATGACAAGTTCCAAATACGGCGGGACGGACGCCCTGAATTCCACTACTAGCAACCATCATTTGAATAACATAATGTGTCAAATACTGGAATCTCAAATATCTTGAAGGAAAAAAAACTGCCCCACTGCATAATAAAAACAAAACTCATAGTACAACATTTTTATTCAACATATAAAAAATAGACATTGAAATCGGTTGACAAACTTCTTTTGAATTATAAAGAGTAAGTCATATCAAGAACTTCTAAAGGCCAAGACAATTCATAAATCCCTGAATTTGATATACTTTTTGGTGATAAACAGTCATCTTGTATATTCTGACTGCCTAGCTGTGTAACACTTTTAGCTAAAACATGCCAACAGTTCAAGGCTTCATTCTTCTCATTATTATTATTATTATTCGGTTGAACTAATTTCCCAATAACAGCAACATAATCACCAACGCTTGGTTCGTAATTGACTGATTGACTTTTGTTCAACTCATATACTACTAATATTTCACCGGTACTATCATCAAGTAGAAAGTTACAACTGTTTGGATGATGACATTTAATTATTCTACCCTGTAACCATAACATGCACCAGGATAATTCTTTTGGTGTCTGACAGACGTCGTCGTCGTCAGCATCACTGATATCCAATTCCCATACTTGTCGAATAGCATTATAAACTGGTAATTTACTGGGATTTTGAAACAATTGTCCAATTAACAATTTCCTCATTAGCGGTGGGGCTTCCAGCTTTGATGACATTATTGTTTATACAATCTAAAACATAAAATGCGGTAGTGTTCAGTTAGTTAGTGAGTTAGTTATTTAGTTAATTAGCACAAGGTGAAAAGCAGGAATATATTGATCACAGAAAGTAATCTTCAGCTTCATAGGAAGCTTGGCAAATCAGTAGGAATAACCAGTGTCAAGACAGTGAGATGCTCACTAGAGACTTGCCCTATCCAGGTAGGTAGTTAACTGGGGTTCTAGTGAGAAGTCGTGACCAGTAGAGTGCAGCACGTCGGGTGTGAGGACAAATACTCGCCGAAGACATTGGCTAGTGGTCGCATTATGTCGTGAATTGGCAGAAGTTAGAATTAATAGGCTGCGTTGGATCGAGTCCCAGTTGCTTAATGGTATACGAGCTTGCCTTGTAACCAGAAGGTCCTGGGTTTGAACCCCGGTGGGTACGTACTGATGATGAGTCCCAAACTAGGACGAAACAGCTTTCCAGTACTCCCAGGTTTTCCAATGGTTCTCTAACTAATGTCAGCTCATGATGAAAAATCCTTTAACCAATCAAATCCCTACAAACCAACACTTGAATACCAATAAGTTATTGATACTGTAGCGTGTTCTACTGACAAGATTTATCAGTAGTATATAAATACATGTTCACGGCACAAAACTATCGAATTGCGGAGAGATGGATTTGGTGTCAAAGAGAGAGAAAATGAACCAGTATTGTGGCAAATAGTAGGAGACACGAAAAGAAGGCAAAGTAACACAATACGAAGGGCAGAAGTAGGGAGGACAACACGGAAGATCTGTGCAAATGACAATTTTCATATAAGAAGGTGGTGTACATAATTCCCCTATATGTGTATATCAAACTCCAAATAATCATTTTCCCGTTGCAATAACAACTACAAGAACAACGAATGATGGAAATGTTAATGTACAACTTTGTACAAAATTGCTGCAGTTCAAGTTCCCACAGTTCAAAAAAGCAGATGTTAAATCGAAATGCACGAGAAGAAGAACAAGTACATGGAGAGTAGTGAGGAATTAATGAATCTGAATGAGCACAAAGAATGAAAGCATCTGCGTCATTGAGATCGATTGATTCTTAAAATCTCGAGGACTCCAACCAGGCGGTCTGCACCTACCTACATGTCTCAAACCAAATCCAAAAAGCTCGAGCTGCTTTCGCTAACTTACACCATATCTAGCGTGGACGTGACATCCGACTATCAACCAAGGGACGTGTGTACTGCTCAGCAGTTCGCTCCGTCCTTCTCTATGGCTCTGAAACATAGCCAATACGAGTTGAAGACATGAAAAGGTTGTCTGTTTTTGATCATAGATGTCTACGATCTCTTTCTCACGTTAGGTGGCATAATAAGTTAAGAAATGTTGACGTTAGGCGTAGAGTGTTGGGCAAAGAGGGAAAATCAATCGAAGAGACTATAAAGTTACATAGATTGAGATGGCTAAGTCACGTTCTGCGCATGCCTAACCATCGCCTCCCCCGACGGACAGGCATTACTAGCTGATATAGGTGCAGGTTGGAAAAGAGTAAGTGGTGGCCAAACAAAAACATGGCATCAATCCATGAAATCCCTGATAGTTAAACTGAGTCAGGTAGGGAGATGCAGACTTCCGGGTTGGGGCCAGCCCTCGGGACTCTAAGAATCAATGGCTGGAGACAATAGGTGACATGGCTCAAAATCGTTGTCAATGGCTTACGCAGATGTATTCAGTCTCTATAATCTTTCATATTCCTTTCTACCATTACTCATTCTGTTTCACTCTTATACTTGTCAAAACTCTATTGATTCTCTTCACTCATCTTCTTGTCTACCTTTGTGTGCTATTTGGAAGGTGGCAACTCGAACTGCTGCACTTTGGTGCCAAGTTCTATGTTGAATCCAGCCAGCCAGCCAGCCAGTCTCAAACCACACAATCAAAGACATGATACCAGAGTCTCCTTTGACCACAGCTAACTCTTTTCTAACCAAATCCCATGTCAGCTAAACTAGCTTGATGTGGAAGGCTATGGCTGGGTATACATAGAACGTGTCCTAGCCACCTCAATCGATGTATCTCATAGATTGAATTTATCTGGTTGTTTAACACTCTACACACAACCTTAGTATTAGTGACTATACTTATACTGAGTAACATAAGTGACAGAATACAGATACTAGTAGGTGAATAGTGCTCGACTTCTCATATCTTCCATTCTCAACGCCCATGTCTCACACCTACAAAGAATGAGGGAGTAAACATCTGTACAGTATATATGTCCTTTAATAGTTAGCCGGATATCCCGTCTGCGCTAGAGGTTACATAAATTAGTTCATATCAAACGAGCCTTTTTCATTCATGCTGAAATTGTGTCAGCTTAAAACCTACACATTATCTGTAGTTATGCGAAAGCCAATACACTAGAGGATTTCATTTAATGAAATCATGAAATAAGATGAACTCCTAAGAATTACGCTGCAATGTAACTTGATAATTACATCCTGAAAAAAAAGCGCTTAAGAAGAAGAAAAAAATTGTATTTCTCATTACGACGTTCATCTACGCTGTTTTGAAGATTCCTTAGATGATGTACTAAAGCAACAAAAATAATAACTGAACAGTGATGAGTATTTATTTTTAAAATGAAGTGAGCTAAATCATTTAGCTGAAATTTGATATAAACAAAAGGGTCGATTCCTTTCTAATAAATTCTCTCATATTTCATGAAAATATTGCAGAATAGTTAAAGATTTTGATTAGACTGAGCTATGTACATTTATCTCTACATTTACATGAATATATATTTATATATATATTCGTGTAGTATGTCCTACTGACAAAACTTATCAGTAGTATATAGACGCAGATTGATAGGAAGTGGCCAGAAATTGACGATAAAATTTTAAGTCAATAGCTACAGAAGTAGAGGTGTTTATTGCTACGTTGTGGTCAGGGAATAATTTCACTGGACAACAACTTTCCACTTGAAGGTGTAACCTTCAGAAAATCAACAACCAATCAGAACAAATTATTGTCCGCTGACCTAACCCACCTTATTAGAGTATTCAAACTGGTCATTTTGTACAATAAACAAACAAAACTTCCATCGGATAATATTGTTTTCACTAATGGTAACAGAGGTCAGCGTGTTTAATGGAAATTCAAATAATAACTGGTAGTTTCAAATATCTAGGTAACGTCACGAATAGTTTAAGGTTAATTTCGAAAGAGACTTTTGTGTGTATTTTTCTCATATGCCGTGGCAAACGAGATGATTAATGCAGTTAGAATAGATGTAAAAGTGTTTTTATGTACAGTATATAACTAAAAGCTAGTAACACAAGAATACAGATCATAAATTAGCTTAATAAGTTGTGCGAATACAATAGTATAATTGATGAGCAATAAATTGTGCTCGATACGTCGTCTAGTTGTTAATAGTGGATTATTATAGTATATTATACCAAATACACCTATCGAACATGAGATTATATTGCATGACAGTGTCTAAAAGTAGAGATTGAAACATTCAACCCCACGTGCAAAGTATGGTGGGGTGTGTGTAGATGACACATTCATGATATCAAAAACACAGGACATAAAATATATTTCTCGAACACATCAACTCGACAGTAAACGCAGTTTATATCACTTGTGAGTTGGAAAGTCACAGAGAAGAGCTTCCAATGCTAGATTATATCATAAAAACGAAAACAAGATGTGATGTTTACAGAAAACCCACACATGCAAACCGACATTTAGATTTCAGTTCAATCGATCTCACGTCAATATAAATAGGACTAATGAAATGTTTTCGTGATTGGGAGAAATAACTAAGTAGTATCCGAGGCAATCTACAACAGGAAGTAAGACATCAGAGGAACTTTGGCACTTAATAACTGCTCTGATAAGTTTATCAGGAGGCATGAAGGAGCCTGCAAGAATAATAAGATGAACGACATGAAGGACTAGCAAACACAAGAACATGACAATACCAATAATAATAGAAAATTTGACACATCAGTAATATTGTTATACAAAGAAGAATCCTTTGAAACCTTGCAAGAGGATTTTTAACAAAGCAGGAATAAAAGTGTCATTCAGGCTCCCAAACTCACTTAGAAAGAAATTATGTTGATTAAAGGATCCTACGGGGCTCATTACATAAATTAATTTAGTTTTTATCTAATCCCCTGAAATGATTGTGAGGTCATAGTAGTGGGTCGGGGTCAGTTGGATTAGCACAGTACAAATGTTTAGTGAAATCTAGACTAGCGGACCCTATTCAAGTAAGAAATCTAGCAAAAGCTCAACTGCTGTAGCTGTACATGCAATTACACACAACCATCAAATAGGATGGGATAAGATGACATTCTTAAAATCCAGTATAACAAGGTAGAGGGTGAGATTGATAACAGACGCCTTATTTATCTAATTATCTGAGAATATGTACAGCAGGAGCGGCTCTATACTTATCTTGGACATCAAGAAAATTGTACTACCCTTATGACAAATGCGAAGGCAGGACGAGAACTATAAAAATCAACGAGTAACAAAGCTGTGTACTTGCAATTGATATGATTATGAACAATAAGTTGTGTTTGAAACACCATGCAAAAAGTATTTCACTTTGTGATATATCCACCCAATCAAGGAAATAATGTAGAATTACATATTACTAGAGTGTTAGCTGTTGTTGTGGTTGCCTGTCACTTCAGGCGATAACACTCTTTGTATACTCTAAGATATCTGAGTTCTTTCTATAGGAGTATTAAAGTATAATATATATTCAAATATCAAGCGATCTTCTCATTAAGAAACTTTTACAACACCTGTTTTGTTGAATATCATCTTACAACCAAGAAACATGGGAAGTGAAAGGACCCTAGTATTTTAGTGATACAGAATCTATGGGTATGTAAAAAGCTTGACGAATTCACTATGATATTAGCACTAAAACTACCTGATTTAAGTAGATTTATCTTATACCGGATTTATGTTGGCCTTCATTCAAATGATCATGAAGTTTGGAATCTTTGACACATTGATCATTCCGCAGCTGTATCATGAAAATACTCTTCCTTATATATAAAACTGTTATTAACTACATGAGTCACATGTGACCTTAATATCCTGGTTAGTTTCTCTTGTGTACTAGCCACGGATTCCCAACTATCATCTCTAGAGTCTTTTGCAGATAAAATATAAGACATTACTAATTTGGTTTAGAGGTAAGTATCTTAGCTACGATGAGAGGTGATTAATGGAGATTCATACTTTGTCTCACCGGACTTTGTGGGGTAAAAGAACATCACAGAACAACAGACAGACTGACTAGTCTAACGGCAACAGAAAGGCCAACAGACAGATATGCAGTAGCAACTTATCTGAAATTTAAATATCTATAACACCCATGAAATACTTTTATCAATTCACTCAAAGGGAAGTGTATATGAAGTTACCATATAATCAAAACTCAACCACAACAACAACAACTGAATGAGTTAAAAGTGCTTCTCGAAGTAAACACAACGAAATTTTATGCTTTACGAGAAATAACCTGGAGGGGTCGGTTCATACTACTTAGAAATTGTTAGTAATTAGTAAGCGTGAAAGACAAATCTGTGTAAATTATGCCTGACTATCAAGTGAGATAAAATTTACGTAGCACACCGTCGGTGGCACAGCGGTTAGGACGCTCGCCAACCATGCACATGGTCCGGGGTTCGATCCCCGGCCGCCAACGCACTCCTTTACCTCGCTAAGCTAGAAATAATGCTGGTGAAGAGGAAAAGTTGGGCATGAGGCTAGCAAACCCATCCTGTAAAATAAACACTGCTACAGAAACTGCAAGCCACTAGCTTGAGGCCCTGTTCCATTGGGGAAGGAGAAGGAAAAAACACCGTAACAGACTGACTTAGTGAATTGAGTAAAACACCTTTTTAAGTAGAACCATCTAATTTAAGTGTAAAATTAGGATACGTTTAAATAAAGAAAGAACGAACATATATTTCCAGGATAATACGAGCTCGTTTTATTGCATGGATTCTCTTCAACTGCCTACATCCTAAATCAATCAATTATAACATATTACAAAATTCGTGAACATACTTTCTACAATGACTTCAAGTTATAGATAGAAAGTATAAGCAATATAATTTCAAAGATAATGTAGATAGACAATTATTCATTGTTAAAAGAGTAACTATTTATACAGTAATTAGACAAAGAGATGGAGTTCAGATTTCGCTTGAAGACAAATATGGACCGGAGGCAAAATACAAGATAGAACAACAGAGTTAGTCTATGTATATTATGGTGAAGAGTTCAGAAGGGTGGGTATGAATTGTGAAGTAAATTTATAAAATAGATAAAATAATTTAATTTAGTAGATTCAGAACCTTAATAGTGAGTTCAACTCAGTGAGTGAAAATTAAAATTAACATTGAGTAGGATGTTATGGAACAGAACAAAACACAAAAACCCATCTTGTCTTTAGTACATCCCTGTTTCCAAGCAAAATCTGAACTCCACCTCTTTGTCTAATTACTGTATAAATAGTTACTCTTTTAACTCATAATAATTGTTTACTTATATCATCTTTGAAATTATGTTGCTTATACTTTCTATCAATAACTTGAAGTCATTGTAGAAAGTATGTTCACGAATTTTGTAATATGTTATAATTGATTGATTTAGGATGTAGGCAGTTGAAGAGAATCCATGCAATAAAACGAGCTCGTATTATCCTAGCAATATATGTTTGTTCTTCCTTTATTCAAACTAATAAAGGGAACCGGCTGTGTGAAATAGGATACGTATATTTGATATAACACACAATGATAGAGAATTAATAACTGGATGACGTTTCGAGCACAGTTCATTGCTCATAATCATATTAATTTATTCATCCCTATGTGAGATAGTTGGGTTGATAGACTGTTACTGACGTATTAGATGATGACTGAAGTCTTTGAATTACTTATGCGGTAGTCTATCAAATGACTTCAACTGATGTAAAACATTCTGTAAAGTAGGCTTCACTTACTATCTGTTAAAATAAGGATATACTAAAACGTTGCTAAGATCTTTCTGTAACAATATACTTTTTAAATCGCTGTGTTACTTCATTTTACACTATTTGAAACGCAAAACAGAGTGATCAACTATCATCCCACCAAGTGAAACATAAATGCATACATAAGGACATTAAATAAAACACATGGCTTTGAGGGGGACCGATATGGTTACATTATCCTAAATCAATATATAAAGAACGTAACTGAAATTAAGTCTGCAAAGTAATTATTCACAATATTATGTAATCCAGATGACATTCTTCCGAAAATGATACACTTATATAATCTGACTGAGTATAGTATAACCACTGATGCTACCAGAGAAAAAGGATATTCTGATTTAAATCGATAATGCTATGTCTCGCTGGTCTAAGCGCTCAACTATTTAACCATTAGATGACGACAGGTTCAAACCCTGCTTCACCGACAGTGTTTGGACAACCATGTAGTATTGTGGTGAGAGCTGGCTGCTAGCCAAAGTTGGTAGACAGTAATTGACGTTAATGTTTATGTCCCCAATATTGGTGGTGAGAAAATGAGAATAAAGGCTTTCCGTAGGCGGATACAGTTAGCATATGGATGATCTGACACAGCCACAAAGAGATGCAAGGTTTACTTTCTATGAGAAACAACCAATCAAAAGACTGTATTTTCTACTAACAATAATCTACAATAATGTACATTAAAATCTATAAATACGTGTTGATTTTCCTTAATAAACGATCTGTTGCCTGGCCCTTGTCTTCTGTTGTTACAGTATCATTAACCTTCACATAATAAGCAGAGCTCATTACCAACTGAATAGAAATACACCTTTTAAAGCTTTTCAAAGTCCTGACAATTCGTGATATATAAGATAACCGCCAGCCAATGTCATCGGCGAGTATTTTTCCTCACATCCAACTCTACCTGGTGGAATCCGATAGTCATAACTTCCAACTCGAACTTCAGTCATTAGTGAGTAACTTTCAAGTTTTAGTTTGCAGAGATTTGATAGTCTTCAAGTCCTCACAGTCATGCTATGTATAACGAATTGACAGAAGTTACAATTGATGCACTATTGGATTTCTTTCCAACAGCTGAATAGTCAATAAAATCGTCTTGTAACCTGAAAGTTCCGGGTACGATCACTGGGGATGGGTGGGGTGGGGGGTGTCGTCCTTAAAACACGGACAAAGCAACTGTCCCTGGTAGTTTCAAATAATTCTCTAACTGAATTGCAGTCGTGATCAACCTAGAAATGCAAGAGGTTGTTGGCCCGTGGAAATGTCAATTAGAAACACATATATACACATATTTATATGTACTAAAAGAGGAGAATGAGTACACTTCCCTTATAATAATACACACAAATAAAACAATCGTCTTATGAATGTAAACATATATCTATGTGTAAGAACAATAGGAGAACTGCTGTCAAAACACAAATCATCATTCCATAAGCAAGCAAGCAAGCAAACAAACACACAAACAAAACAAGACGTAGAGCAAAAAAATTCAAACAAGTCAAGAAAACAAAAGACAACAGTGTGCATGCAATGTAATTCCAACAAATATATTCTTTATATATGTATATATATTTATGCATAATGTAGAGATAGATAATATGTAATATATTCAATATCACTATGTAGTAATATATATATATATATATATATATATATTAATGAATGCTATTCATTTCAGTCAAGATGTGTACTTCATCAATTGTATCGCATTTACTGTTTTATATTTATTGTTCACAGAAAATTAAAAAAAGAAGAAACACAATAAGAAGAGTAACAACAGAAAAAAATAAAAGATAAAGAAGAAGAAAAACACAAAACAAAAGGAAAGAAACTGACAGCCATTGTTATTACTATTACTATTATTGTTCATTAGTACATTTAAACAAATAGCCATTCAATGTGTTCAATATCCTCAAAACACAATATACATACAAACATATGTATATATATATATCAGTTGTGTGTGCAAAGTGTTGAATATTTTATGAGGCATCATACAATTGGTGGGTAACAAACAGTAGGAGTAAGCAAAAGCAAAAGAACAAGAGGTGGCATAGTGGGCGGGGTGCGTGGGTGGATGGAAGTAGGGAGGGAGAATTGGATATTTCTTTTAGAAAAAAGTGTTTGTGATATCATCTGTTCCCTTCACTACACATTAGCATTATTATCACTGTTGATATGTTGTATACTGATGTTTAGATATGTAATCTTGTTTCTCTGATTTGATTATTTATGCATATATATATGTATATATATAGACGAAGGAGGCACATATGGAGTCTCTTTATAGGCATCACATCAAACATGCTAAGTAAAACAAAAGAAAAGAAAAATAAGTAAGCGTTTTTTCTCTTTTTCTTTTTAATATTCACACTCAAAACAAAAATAAAATATTACAGTAAGTAGGTGATAACGATAAGTGAGAGAGTAGGCGAGTAAATTAAAAAATGACAAAGTGAGCAAAAAAGGAACCCCCTTCCCCTGCATAAAGTACACAAAGATATCAAAAAAAAAAACAATAGCTAGTTAGAGTAATGAACAGGATTTTATCTCTTTTATTTTCAACAAAGGCATTTCCTCTGATCTCATCTCATCAAAAATCAATCAAGGAGAACAAGAGTAAGAAAGAAGGCTGTTCAATATATATATATATATATATATATTCAATATTCCCCACATATGCATGGATGGATAACACAGTTGGTGGTTTGGTTACGTAACAGATATGAAGAGGAAGCAGAAAAAGAACAAGGAGACAGAGGAATGAGGTTAGGCGAAGGAGAAGAAAGAGAATCAGGTGAACGATGGAAGGAATCGGCGCCGTTACCTTAACCATACCACACACACTTACACACACACACACAGAGAAAACTACGCTTAATCTGAAAGTATGACAAAGAAGAAGAGACGAATAAGGGAAGGAAAGCGTAGAGAAATATATATGTATATATTTTGTGCGTGATTCTAACTAATTAAATAACTCACAAAAACCATACAGATCTACGTAAAATACACTATGAGCAACTGATCGCAAAATACATATCACTAGTAAAATATTATTATTATTATCATCATTATTATTCAACTTCTATTCTCTACTGGTTATTAATTAATAATAATAATAATATTAATAGTAGTACATACAAGTAATTAAAATATTGAAATTCTTTGATTAAATATTAAAATAAGAAAAAAATTAATTTAGAGTAATAATAATAAGTTTTATCAATGTATTATTATTATTATCGTCATCATTATTGTGTGCGCTAAGGAAAACCATCACCTTCTCCTTCCTAATGAGTACAATCAAGTATCAGTTATCAGTCAGTCACAACAAGAGTCATAGTAATAATAATAATAATAATAAGAGTAATCTTTGAAGATATGTATACGGTACAGGTATACACCATAAATAATAGTATTATAAAAATACAGATTTCACACTACGCAGAAAAATCACAGAAATAAGCGCATCACCCTTTTTCTCATTTTTACTTTTTTTTCGTCTGGTTGTAACTATTCTCCATTTGTCTTAGTTATTTTTTTGTTTTTCACTACTACAGAGACAAACAATACTAGTTTAATTGAACAAGCAATCATTCATCGCTGAAAGATATCGAAATATACAACTATAAAACAGCGCCATAGAAGATTTGAATAGAGACAGAGAGACATCTATATATTCAGAGGTACACAGTAGACAAATGGATGGAAGAGATATCTCCTTTGAAAAAGCAAAAAAAAAGCAAAAACGAAACACATGTCTGTTTTTTTAAAAGAAGTAGTAACACAGTGATAAAGATTTAGTGGAAAAAAATATTCACTTATATTTATGCCAATAGCCAATAGCCTCTTCCCTTCTGAAGCGAACTGTATATAAACAAACACAGTTACACGCATATCTCATACTTTGGAAATATTCCCTCCAGCACTAGGTCCACGTGATCTAGTCGCTGGTGAAAAACCTCTACGACGAACACCAGCTGAAGATGATGCAGACGGTGGCAGGTCACCAACACCCTAAAATGAAAGTATTTAAAAATAACTGGTTAGTTAAGAGGTAAAAGTTAACAAAGATTTAATGGGAATACGTCAGTCATCACACAAGTATTCAAGAGAGACATAAGGCTTTAATATTACAACAAATTTATAGAAATACTTGTATGCTGAAATCCTATTGATGAGGAAAAAGTGGTCATACCAAAACTGCTACCTGTATGCCAAAGAATAATTGCTTAATAGACAGACATGGATAAAGTAATCACTGGATGTGTCTGTGTAATGTTTTCACCTTCTTCACACTTGTCAAATGGATGCTGAATCACCTTGCTTCATATCTAATAACAACATTCACCTTATCACACTTAGAACTCCTTACTTTCATTGTGTCTCCTAAGTAATTGAATCAGTTGTGTCACATCCCCCTATTAATCGATAATAAACTTCTATACGGCTTTTGGGGTCCACCAATTTAGGCGTGAGGACTGATACTCACCGATGACATCGTCTGGTAGTCACGCTATGTATCGCCAACCGGTAGAAGTTAGAAATGATCAGCCACTGGACTCCGTCTTAGGGGCTAAATGTTCAACAAGCTCGCTTCGTAATCTTAAGGTCCTCCTCCAGTTCGATCTTCGGCAGGATCATGAGTGCGTACTGATGAAGAGCATCTACCTATGACGAAACAGCTGTCCAGTACTCTCTGGTTGTTTTTCAACGGTTCTCTAACTGAAGTCAGTCCACGGTGAAACATAGAATCAATCAAATCGCTGGAAATCAATACTTGGAAATATAATTATGATATGATATGATGCTCAATACAAACACATTTTCTCAATATTTAGTTGCGTTCTATCACTGGCTGAAGTACCCTATAGAAGAAACTACCAGCAACTCCCATTTGATACTCATATATATATATATATATGCGAGAGAGATGCTTATTCTGAGATAACTATGCTTACTATATTAGTGATGATAACTATTCTATAAACAAAAAAAGAAGAAATGGTAAAAACTGGGGCGAAAAAAACAATACATCTATCTCTATGATAGAGCTAAAAAAATCTAATGGGTGCGCCTACAAACAAAAAAGAAAATTCCACGTTAATTCATATTTATAACATGATCGTATAATTTAACAGCCAGCTAACTTCGTTTATATTGGGGCAATGAAGCCACACCTACTATAGCATTGTTATTATCATTAGGCATAGGGTAATATTTTACAGCTGGGAACAAGACAGGTGACTGTAAGATACTCTGGTATTTAAATAAGTTTTAAGATAACTGTGATAAGATTAAAAAAAAGAAGTTGAAAACATTAAAATATCCTCTAATTAAAAGAAACCTGTAAATATCAAATTGACTAACGTCAGGCAGGTTTTTTTTAATAGAGAAAATACAAATACTATTATTCACTTAAAGACAGCGGTAGCAACCAAAGTATTACTATGCACTGATATAAGGAGCCAATATTATCTCAACATTTTAAACAATAACAGTAAATCAAAAACTGTAAGGCTATGCCAACAGCAAGGAAGATTACTGGATAATAATAATAATATTGTGTAAACACAAGAGATATAAAATGGGGGTGATTGGGTTCACCTATGAATTGTAACACACTAATCATAGAATGCAGATGAATTAGACATACATTGAGGAGGTCATCAAGTGATATCACATACTAGGCAGGTCGTCGAGTGGAATCCGAATGGAAACCGACGAGTTAGGTGGCCAAGAGTAACGTGAATATGAAGTGAACAGTAATGGGGCTATTTGAAATAGATGGAAGAGAATTGAGTAAAATGAAGATGTGACGGCGAGGCCCTATGTTCCACTCATAGAATATGAAAATGAAATGAAGCCATTAGCTTAAAGCTATATACACAACTTGATTCTATGGTTCTTCGAATTTCACTCAATGAAGCCTAAGACTTGTCACATGAGCCTGACAAATACTAGACAGCTTTAAAACTTCATAACATGCCAGTGTGTAATCGTTACCAGCAGGTATGTATGAGCATGTATGTATGTATGAATAGACAGATCAGATGACATATGTCAGAAAGTCATCTCTTACGGGTGAATCGAATAATGAAGAAGATTTGTAGCTTAGGTGGATGACTTTGATGCAGCTGTGTTCTATGAGTTGGGTGGTTTCGCTTGTGAAGCTTTCATTGCCTTACTAGGCAACATCTCCAGTGCATACTTCAATTTGAAGTGAGCTTTTAGATTTCTCCACGAGTTTATTAGTTATCTCTCCTAGTGACCTTGTACGTGATTGGTTGCTCTTGTTTTTCTTCACAACTTCTAGTATAGGTTTCGATTCCCGACCGAGGCACTCTTAACCCTCCCCTAGCCAGTAGTAAGCCTGGAAAAGAGAGGAGGTTGGGCGAGAGGCTAGCAACCCCACCCTGTAAAAACAACACAAGTGCTACTAAAACTTATTAGTAAGTGAGGTAAGTTAAGGAGTGAGTCAGTCAGCCGGGGGCCGAACGCCAGACCATGCGCGTGGTCGGCGAGCATTCTTCAATTGAACCAAAGATGAAAATGTATATGCTTGGTGTTGACATATAATGAGAGTATTGAGAATTAGAATAACCTTATTGATTTCTGAGATAAGTAAAAATGGCAACTATATTTGGATTCCGGATATGCCAAACCACCCTAATATATATAAATATAATTAAACCATCTCCCGTGTTGAAACACAGACTTCCCAGGATAGATCAATCAATAAAAACCACTAGTACAGATAGATAACAGTATTTGTACTGTACGATGTAGGAGATTCACAGTACATTCATTTACTTGTCATACAGTCCCCATTTGATAGTATGTAAAAGATCCAGACAAATTTATAGCAAACATTTATGTAAATGTCTCAGAAATTTACAGTATGACGCCAAACATTCATATATATAAAACCAAAATGAATAAGTCTGTTAAATCCTCTTGCGTTACCATGGTCATGATGTGTTCAATTACCTGGGAACATTTGATAATGTCTCAAATCAATCAACTGTACATTATTAAACATACTCCAGTGTCTCTTATTTTCTTCTTCTTATTATTACTATTATAATTAGAGTTTTAATTATATTTACTGATTCGCACTGATTTCATATATACCTGATTTTCAAGAATTATTTTGTAGGGGTTTGATTTGTTTCAAGATTGACCAAGGATTGATATCAGTTAGAGAACCATTGAAAACCAGCACTGAAGTACTGGACAGCTGTTTCATTCATCTTGGTTTGGGATTCATCGGCAGTGCGCATTCACCAACGGGTTCGAACCGAGGTGCTTCCAGTTAACAGGCGATAATCTCGTAGACCATTCTCAATCGCTTGGACCCGGCCAAATGGCCCTTGAATTCTAACTTCTACCAATTCGTAATCTTAGCGCGACCACCAGACAGTGTTATCGGCGAGTATGTGTCCTCACTCACTCTCGACCTAGTGGACCTCACTGTTCACCAGTTTTCATTCGAACTCCAGGCAACATCGTCCTGAAGGCAGTCACTAGCGTCTATCGGATTGTTTCTTACAATCCGAACTATCGTAAAATAGGTGAATAATTATAGCCTGATGGCATGATTTCATTCCTTCACCTATTCTCAAACATAACATATAGCCAAGATTTTCGTTGGGGTGGAGGAATGGGGTAGGGAATTCACTTTATGCACAAGTTTCATTGTCGATTTCATGATGAGCTAACATCAATTAGAGGATCATTGAAAACCAAGGAGCAGAAGAAAGCTGTTTCGTTCCAGCTTGGGTCTTTTCAACAGTGTGCACCAGCTCTGAGTTACGAGTAGGAAAAGTTAAAATTCACGGGTCAACGGTTAGTGAACCTGGACTCGTAACCTGTACGTCCTGGGTACGAACTGCTGAAAAATCCCTAACAACGACGTAACAGCTAACCAGTGCTCCTTGGTTTACAATAGTCCCCATCATCAGTTGCAGAACAAATAAATTAATAAGCAAAACAGAAAACCTACCTTTTGATGAATTTGATCTATAGCTTCTTTTAAAGCTCTTAACGACTGTCCACTTAATTGTCGATGTGCAGTCCTTTCAAAATCTGGATGCTGCATCAATGTACTCAATAGACGACGTCCATAATAACTAAATCAATAAATTGTAAATAACAAGTAATAATTAAAAAGAAAATCAGAGGACACTGTAAGTGTATATAAAAAACACACAAAACTTGAATGTAAGGAGATATTAAAATTAATAAGCTCTAATACCGTTAATATATTTCATTTCAAACCTTCAAAAAAATACCAAGAACACTTACATTTCTATATGTGAACAGGAAGAATCTAGTTGAGTTGGCATTATGCACCAAATATTCTCTTCGTCAGTGAAAACCATTCCCCATTCCATAAAGAGTATTTAACAAGTAGCTCAGTGGCCTACAGACTTTGCTTTCATTCAGTCAGTTCAGGGTTCTAACCTTGTTACAAATACTTCAGCATGGGCAACTGGGCTCTTACATATACTATGTATGGCTCATAGGCTCATAGTAGACATGGAAAACCTCATCTAGGTAACTGGGTGTACACAAGTTTAACAAGCTACATGATAATTTGAGTCAGTATATCTTGTACACTTTGTTTAAGACAACCTAGTTTTTAGATGGTGAAAGGCATTCAACAGGAGGTCAAGTATCTAGGTTTCGTGTTTGTTGGCAGTTTTGAAAGAACATATATCCCCTACAGGATTCAAATATTCATCATCCAGTGTTGCAGTCAGAGACGTCACTGCTGAGACATTTGTGTACTCCAAACCTACCTTGAAGGTGGTGGGTGAGTATAAGCAACCGCAGTTTAGTTAGAACTAAGTTAATTGAAACAGAACTCCCATTTTTCAGACTATGAGTCACAATTATTGTATGAAGGCTAATATGATACTATCTAGTTAATTGGGCTAAAGAAGTTGGAGCGAGTTCGAATCCGCAACTCATCGACTTTAATTCACAAGTCTCCACAAATAATCACAAACGGTGTATGAAGTAGTCGTCTCACTAACTTTAGATTTGAAGTAGATCATACTGAATTAATATTGCAAGGGTATTTAGTATTTCATCAAAGGATAAAATAGAACCTTTGAAGGTAGTACTAATTTATCTAACACCATCTTGTGACCAATTTGAAATTGAGTGAATGAAATCAGTGCCGATTAAGAAAAACCACCCGGTGTAAGTTTTTAATACGATTGACGAATATCATAAGTTGATAAATAAATATTCAAAGTTTCGGAGGTGGAAGCCGTTTAAAAATTCGACTGAAATGTGCTAGTAGTAGATATTCACTGAAGTAAATAAATCCTTGGAAGCAGTGTATTTAAAGGAGTAGACGACCACATGCAATATTTTACTTGACTTATTTTATGCCTTTACCTTCCCAATGGAACATAGGGCTTCAAGCTAGTAGCTTGAAGTTCCGGTGGCAGTGGTGTTTATTTTTGCGGGATGGGGTCACTAATCTCACACCCAACTTTCCCTCTTTACCAGTCTTCTTACTAGCTTGGCGAGGTAAAGGAGTGCGTAGGCGGGGGATCGAACTCCGGACCACATGCGTGGTCGGCGAGCATCCTATCACTGTGCCACTGACGCATTGCTTACTTTCACTTTAATAAGTGGAGTGTAGTCCCAGGTTGTAATTCATGGTTCAAAGTAAGTCAAAAAAGCAGGCATATATTGTTATTCCCCTGCATTCCAAATGGTTCCAAACGTCTTCAACAGCACATCTGCATTTCAACCTATTTTCTGAAGTTTTTTCTAGTTAGCTAGCTCCACGAATACGCATAAGCTTTCATTTCTTCCTCACACGATTTCCTCTATGTCACACCTTCAGAACTGTGTCCAATTCATCGCTTTCCGTTCGACGTCCTGGTAAGTGATGTCACTCAACGGTCTCCTCAGCGTATAGCAAATAGATTTAATGAACTAAAAAAAAATTCATTGGAATATCAATGCCAATTCAGCGAACAACATCCATCCTTGGATGAAGAACACAGTGGAACTCATGTTGAATTCAGAAAAATAATAAATTTTAGTGAGTCAAAAAAAACAACTCTTGCACTAATTCCTAGTAAGAAAATCTCAAGCAATGTTTTCAAAAGTAGGTGAAATAAGAATCCATTAAAAAGTGAACAGTGAGATAGAGAGTTAGCATGTAAAGTTGATCCAGGCTAAAAGCAAAGCTTGAAGAGTATTCGAATAGTAACAACACGAAATGTGAATATCTGTTACTACACTTAATTTAAATATCTTACATATATATAAAAAGCTACTAAGACGATCGAAAAAGTATTGAAATAATTATAGAAAGAGTAAATTTTAGGTCTACAAAAATACTGGAGGTAAAAGGTTCGCGTAGCACTCGCTAACTTGTGTCATCTCTCTAGAGTAGTCATGATGTACGGTTATCGATCAAAGGACGTGCCTACCGCGCAACCGTTCATTCTGTCCTTCTTTATAGTTGTGAGACGTGGTCGTTGAAAGTGAAGACTTGAAGAGGTTAAACACTTTTGAACACAGGCGTTTGAATTCTATCTTCCGTGTTAAGTGGTGTAATATGGTAAGTAATATTGAGGTTATACGTAGAGTATCAGGTAAAAATGGGTAGTCAGTAGATGAGGTACTGAAGTTGCATCGATTCAAATGGCTAGGACATGTCCTATATATATTTGCTGAGACATGACCCTCAACGTCAAGCAATGTTAGCTGACCTAAAATGGAGTTGGAAGAGAGTAAGGGATGGTCAGATTAAAACATGTGACATCAATCCATAAAATCTGTGACTGTTCGTCTGAGGCATGAAGTGAGTTTTAGACTTTCTGGCTGGGGTCCTCATCACTTTCAGATCCAATGACTGGAGATTTTTGGTGACATAGCTTAAACACTATTGTCAATAGCGGAGATCCATTCACTATTTGTGATTTTCCACAAAAGAACCTAGAGTTGGTTTCGATATCGGCTAGATGTGTTATGAGATGCCAAAATCACAAAATTTATCACAGTTTTATTCTATCAATGGGCTAAATAGAAATACAACAGATAACTGTATAAATGGCCTCATTATACTGTTATCTCAGCCGCTGTTTTTTAAACAAGCATTCTGAATTTCTTAGACGAAATCAAAACAAACTCACATTCATCTAAGAAAGATCATTGATTGTTAACACGATTTTTGAAAAAAGCACTTGTGACTATGGTTACACTTAGAAAAAACAATAACCAGAACAACAACATTCGTTTAACACAAAAGCATCAAATCACAACCAGTGTATAAAAAAGCTTATTATCATATATGTGAATTTTAGGTATTTGATAGTAATGACTCAGTTCAGAGGATTATTTTAGTATGACCATAAACAGATGGAAATGGAGAATTGGTTGAACACAAGCTGAGGAAACCGTTGAGTGACATCACACGCCAGGACAGCCTCAAGTGGAAAACAGGTGGGAGGCGATAATTTGGGTGTGTATTCGAGGGTGATATGGAGGAGATAGTATGAGAAAGAAGTCAAGGCTTATGGGCAGCCAGCTAAAAAAAGTGCTGAGGACAGGGTAAAATAGAGATGTTCTGTAAAAGTCCTGTGTAACACTCGGAACCCAAAGGAAATAAAGTATATTTTACTATTATTATTATTGTTCCCTTGAGTTCCGAGTGGAACATACGGCTTCAAAAACACATTCCCACTTTCTTCTATTATCTGCTGTTCCTTCATCTGAGTCCACGATTGACCATAATCTCACCTCTCATCCCCTCCTTGCCACACGATCTCCTCCATATCACTCTCGCATCGACGACTCACTCGTCGCTTCACATTCAGATTCCACTCGAGCGATGGTCTGCATCGCGTGCGATGTCATCCGACGGCCTACTCAACGTATGTCCGATCCATCTCCATTTTTTCCTACATATTTGTTGAGCAACTGGCTCTCGTCTGTTGGTTTCTTGCCAGCCAGAGTTTCTTCTTGCTAATTCTTTCTGGCTGGATGGCCAGCCGGCCATCTGATCTTCAGTATGGAGCCAGGCAGCGAAGGTGGCAGCTATTGACAAAAGTCTGCATTAGCATGTTCGAAATCCTTTCCGTGACGTGCTGGCCAAGTTTATGACCCGAATAGAAGAACTTACTGATTGACCTCACATTGGTGTTGAAAATCCGAATCTTGTTCTTTATGCAGGCTGGCTGAGTGCAGTTCAGAAGATTTGCAAACTGGTGAAATTATGGTCAATCGTGGACCCAGATGAAGAGGACAGCAGATAATAGAAGAAAGTGGAGATTTGTTGTTGAAGTCCTATGTTCCACTTGGAACCCAAGGGAATGATAATAACAGATTAAAGCAAAGCGAAAGAAATTTATAAGCCCATTATAAATATAAATAACCTACCGTGTTTCTTGATTTCCATCTGTTAGAAATTGACTAAGTGCTGCAATAAGACGTTCCATAAACCCACCTAAAAATACAGAATTTGATGCAGATAAAGCAGAGGATGAAGCAGACGCAGAGGCGGAAGCATTCAAATTTCCTGTTGAACTCCATGATGATAAACGACCCATAGCAGCAGTACTGCTAGTGTTGCTGCCATTAGCACCATTACTGCTGACAACACCACCAACACCAACACCAACAGCACCTCCAGATCCACGTGAATTACTACCACGATTAGATAAATTCATACGTCCAGTACTACTCAGATTCTCGACTATCCGAGAGACAAGTAGGGCTGTTTGAAGTCGAACAGCTGGATTTTTATGACTACAAAGAAGAAAATTAAGTTAGAAGGAATCAGTGTCTTAATTAATTGTATCGAAATTCGAAACAAAGGTTAAAACTTGAGAATGTTAGAAAAAAATATTTGATTTGCAGAGGTTAAAAGGATTAAAACATAATTATTGGTAATAATAATTTGCTTTATTCCAAAACAATAATTATAATGCAGGGTGGAATTCTCAGCATTTCGTAAAATACTGCATCTAATTTACTCGACAACAGCAAAAACAGAAATAATATTACAGGGTATACGTAACCAAGATTGATAATAGTAGCGTTTGGTATTTGCAGTGACAATAAAGTCAAAAATGTATAAAAAGTGTAAAATAATGATGATAATAATAATATTAATAGCTAAAAATGTAAGTTGATTGAAATAGTGTCACTACAGATTACAAATAGGAGAGGATAAAAGAGCCAATTATTTTTCTGGCCACAGAGTAATTCATAGATTTCACGCTTAACATTATCACCACCACATAGAACGTGGGCCTAATAGGGTGTAGTCGAGCTTTTGTACTTGATTGTGAGAGCATATAATCTTTTTTAGTGACTTCTAGTCCTATTTGTTGAGATGCAAGAGGAGAGTTGAGAATATATAGGGTGTTGAGAGTCAGACAATATGGATTTAGACTATTTCTCACATGAGTTCAGGTGTCTATCGACTACCGTAGTAACAAGCTGACTAAGTGGCACACTACTTGCCCTACTGACAAACTTTAATACCTTGCGCAGTATGACATAGTGCCTTTTGAGTAGCCCAGGAAAGACCAAAAGGGGAACAGTAAAGTACAATAGGTGAGATGCAAGAGTTAACAAATTTTGAGAGTAGATGTTGAGTGATTCCTGATTGTCTGAACTTCTTAATGTAGTAGGTTAAAAGGAACATTTGACAGGCGGCCTGTTTGAACGTTGGACTACCTAAACTTCCAACTACATAAAATAGGTGAGTAAATAATTGCATCGGTGGTGCTTGCTAAACACGCAGGTGGTTGAGAACGCCCAAAAAAGAGGGAATGTCACATCTACTGAAACTTCAAATCTCAAGCGTGAAGCCCTACGTTCCACTTGGAACACGATGTATTGGGGAAAAAATCGACATATGTGAAACGGAGAACAGAACTGAGAAAGTGAGAGACACAATCATACCACCGATTCCTCAGACGCAAAGAGATCCTACGCAAAAGCCAGCGGTATATGATTCAGTATATGGGCTTCTTTCACACCTTACTGTCGAAAATAATAGTCAACCATACTTAAAATAAGTAAGTAAAACTATGTCTTCGAGGAACACAGAAATAAGCATAAATCAGTAACTAAGCCAGATGCCCACCCAAACAACTAATACACAAGAGTATCATATCAAACAGATGATTAATTCATTATTACTATTACCCGACCGATAGCTGCTACCTTGACGTGGTGGTCGGGCTTGAACACTGCAATGACCCAACAAGCTATAATGGCTGGAACTTATGTTCCTGCAGGTCCTACCATGCCAGAAAGGTTGTTTGGATAGCAGTTAGACTAAAAGCAGTTACCCAATCCAATCCTATGATTTCAAATAAATCACAAAATATCATGCCGGATCGGTCGGGGCCCGGATTAACAACGACCGCGCTTTCTGCTGCCGTGTCACAGGGCAGAAGTGATAAATACGCTACTGAGACACACCATATAAAAAAGAACAAACAAAAACAGGCCGTGTGTGACCGGCCTCAAGCAGTTGTCCCCTGGGCTCTGCGGTCACGCAACCAACTTCCACGGTGTGGGCAGCCGGGAAGTAACAATCGCCCTCACAATCCGAAGTGCACGCGAAACCCCTCTAATCCTCGCTCATCTTTGTCTTCATCTTCATCTCTATTATCTTGCCTTCCTTCTACTAATGCAACTCCTCTACTTGTTGGCTCTTCACTTCCCCTTCACTCTGTGTGCACTGATAACGATGGAAGCCAAAAAGCCACCACTGATGGTCTCCTAAAGCCACGCCACCAATTTTATATAGGAGCATTTAATGTTAGGACACTTTGCCAAATAGGACAACAAGCATCACTAGCCAAGACTCTGGCATCCCGAGCCATTGATGTATGTTGTGTTTCAGAAACACGCATACAAGACCCAAGTGTGGTTATTCACCTAACCCCACCTGGCCAACAGGATGAATCTGCAAAATTCACCTTGAGGGTGTCAGGAGATGCGACGGCTAGCTCACGAGGATTAGCTGGTGTTGGGATAGCTTTAAGTACTAGAGCAGAAAAGACATTACTTGACTGGATCCCGGTAGATAGCCGAATGTGCGCTGTCCGCCTGAACGGATCAGTGAAAAGGAGAAAGGACTGCACTACTCGCCGATGCCTTTTCGTAATCTCCGCCTACGCCCCCACTGACTGCAGTTCGGATGAAACGAAGGATGAGTTCTACCAAAAGCTGTCCAGTTTGCTGCGAAAGGCTAGACGCTCAGATATAGTCGTTTTAGCTGGTGACTTTAATGCTCAAGTAGGGAAATTGTGTCAATCTGAGAAGAATGTTGGTGGCACATACGGAATTCCGTGCCAGCGAACCGACAACGGTGACCGTCTCCTACAGTTCTGTTCAGATAATCATTTGTATCTTGGAAGCACTAACTTCAAACACAAGGAGAGACACTGTTTGACCTGGCGACCACCATCATCAAATCAACGCTGGACACAAATAGACCACATAGCAATAAGCTATCGTTGGCGTGGGTCGGTAGGGGATTGTCGCTCCTTCTGGAACACGTGTGTAGATACCGATCACGCACTGGTCCGCGCTCGTGTGTGCTTACGACTGAACGGACGTAGGAAACAGCTGGCGGTAAACCCACCACGTCCCCAGCTCGACCAGGGAACTAAGTCCCTATTTGAGGAAGAACTAGCTAAACACATATCTGAGTTTGACAGCTGCGCTCACCCTGAAGAAGCCTGGAAGAATATTCAGTCAGCCATAGATACAGCTGTAAAAGCTGTGAATAAGGTAAATCCAAAGGTGAGTAAAAACCATTGGATTTCGACTGCCTCATCCGAACTGATAGATGCTAGAAGACTTATTCCGGCGAGCTCCGAATTCAATGAGGAGCGAAAGCTGCACAAAAAGAAACTTACGAAAAGTCTCCGCAAGGACCGTGAACAGTGGTGGTTGACAAAGGCGAAAGAGATGGAAAAAGCATCGGCGATAGGCAACACCAGACAACTATTCAGGCTTATCAGGGAAACAGGTGGTAAAAGGCAAATGATAAGCGAAACAATCTCCGAGAAAAATGGCACTATAATTAGCTCCCAGGATAGACGTCTGGAGCGCTGGAAAGAACACTATGAGGAGCAGTTTAATTGGCCCACAGCCACACTTAACCTACCGGACATCCAGCACCTCCCTGAATGGGAGATAGACACAGGTCCTCCGTCCTTAACCGAGGTTACTAAAGCTGTCACCAATCTGAAGCTAGGCAAAGCAGCGGGACCTGATTTATTGACTCCAGAGGTATTTAAGTACGGTGGAGACAGTTTACTGTCTGCGTTAACGGAGGTTCTAGGCAGCGTCTGGGAATCAGAGGAAGTCCCATCGGGTTGGTGTAAGTCACTGATCATCCCGATATACAAGAAGGGGGACAAGTCGTCTTGTGATAATCACAGAGGGATTAGCTTGACTAATATAGTATCTAAAATCCTAGGCTCAATAATACTGCGTAGATTAAGTGGTGCTCGGGAGACACAAACACGAGAAAACCAGGCAGGTTTTAGGCCAGGTAGAGGGTGTATTGATCACATCTTCACCCTTCGACAGATTCTAGAACATAGGCATTCCTACCGGCGTCCGACAATCATTATATTTCTTGACCTAAAGGCGGCATTCGATTCTGTCGACCGGGAGGTTCTCTGGCGATGCTTGGCTGTAAAGGGAATGCCAAGAAAATACATTGCACTGATTAAGGCACTCTACTCGTACTCATGCAGCCAGGTGAGGGCTTATGGCGAGTTGTCATCTGAAGTGGTGACGACTAGTGGCGTCCGTCAAGGATGCCCATTATCCCCATTCCTATTCAATTTCATCATAGATGTACTAATGGACTTAACCCTAACTCACTTCAGCGACTCAGGGATTGACTTGCTACCAGGGAAGAATCTCGTTGACTTAGAATACGCGGACGATATAGTCCTTCTAGGCGAGGACTCTGACAAAATGCAGAGTCTACTGAACACCCTGAGCAACAACCTCCGCATGTTTGGCATGCGATTCGCCCCTATAAAATGTAAGATGATGCTGCAGGATTGGACTTCATCGACCCCTAGATTAGAAATAGGAAGTGAAGTGGTAGAACACGTTGACCGCTTCACTTACTTGGGAAGTACCATCAGCCCCAACGGGTTGATCTCCGACGAAATTTCAGCACGAATACAGAGGGCTAGGTTCGCATTCGCCAGTTTTCGCCGTCTCTGGCGTAGACGCGATATCCGACTATCGACCAAAGGGCGTGTGTACTGCTCAACAGTCCGCTCCGTCCTCCTTTATGGCTGTGAGACCTGGCCATTGAGAGGGGAAGACATGAAAAGATTAGCTGTGTTCGATCATAGGTGTCTGCGTTCTATCTCCCGCGTGAAGTGGAATAATAAGGTGAGCAATATTGAGGTTAGGCGTCGAGTGCTAGGTAAGGCGGGGAAATCAATCGACGAGACTGTGAAATTGCATCGACTGAGATGGTTAGGACATGTGCTACGTATGCCTAGTCATCGCCTTCCTCGACGGGCAATGTTAGCTGATATAGGGTCAGGCTGGAAAAGAGCTAGCGGCGGTCAAACCAAAACATGGCACCAATCAATGAAATCCACAACAGTTAATCTAAGCCACGTAGGAAGATGTAGACTTCCTGGTTGGGGCCCTCGGGATGGTAAAAACCAATGGTTGGAAACAATTGGCGACATGGCTCAAAATCGTTCTCAGTGGCGCAGATGCATCCACTCCTTGTGACTTATGATTTCCAATTAAACTTTTGTTCTCCGTTATTACTATTCCTTTGTCTCACACCTCTGTTTACTGTCTATATTTTGCATTTCTTCTACTTCCTTCTCTTGCTTTGCGTGCTACATGGATTGTGGCGACTTGAACTGCCGCACATATGTGCAAAGTTCTATGTCGAAAACAGACAGACAGACAGACAGACTATTATTTGTGTGTAACACTAATCTAATGTATATCAATCGATATAAGACACAGAAAACCATTCCCTGCTTTTATGTAATATTTATATGCTGGAAATTTTGTAGCTATTGAAGTCCCTCTGGTTAAGAGGCGAGCTTGTAGGCTATTCAGCCACTGGGTCGAGTCCCAGTGGTCCATGAATCTGCCAGTTCGTTGTATGTATACACATATATACATAGCGCGACCGCCGGCCAGTGTCACTGTCTTCTTGCCTGACTCGATGGTCCCTACTGGTTACAACGTCTCACTAGAACCCAGGTAACTTCCTGCATAAGGCCAGTCGCTAGTGGGCATCAAGTTAATTATCAAGTGTTAGTTTGCAGGGATTCGATTAGTTACAAGATTGATGACGAGCTGACGATGACGAAACAGCTATTCCGTGACTCCCAGGTTTTCCAGTGGTTCTTTAACTGATGTCAGCTCGTGATCAATCCTGTAACCAATCAAATCCTTGCAAACCAACACTTCATAGCGGTAGAGTGGTCGCCAACCACGCAGGTGATCCGCGGTTCGATCCCCGGCCGCCAAAACACTCCTTTACCTCGCTAAGCCAGTAATAAGACTGGTGAAGAGGGAAGGTTGGGCTAGCAACCCCATCCTGTAAAAATAATCACCACTGCTACAGAAACTTCAAGCCTCTGGCTTGAAGACCTGTGTTCCACTGGGAACATATAGAAATTTAAAAAAATACTTTATATCTTGCTTTATAGAGCTACTTTTTATTTGCAATTTTTCATACGTCTGGTGTAGACGTTGTATCATTTCAATTGCACTTGTTTGATGTTGATTCGATGAACAAAGATGCGGTGACTAACCACCCTCTTTCTCTTTGTAACTCTATATTGCTTTTTTAATACTCTCCAACCTATCCCACCCTACTGTATGATTATATGCAAGTGAATGAATTGCAATAGCCGAGTTTTTTTTCTAGATTATTTAACTTAGCGGTATCAAATCATTCTACATCTAGCTAAACTCCTATGTTCCGATAATCTTATTGACGCCAATCTACTAGTTTGACGTAGTATTTGCTGGTAAATTGTATTACTTCTTCAAATTGGATGTATCAGGTCCTTAAGCCAACAACAAAGTTTGCCCCTAGGTTAGTCGGTTCGTTTAAATGCCAGCGCCTAATTCCAGCCTGAAGTATGCAAGTTAATGTGGGATATTTCAAGTTAAGACAAATGCGCCATGGCTCACAAAAGACAAAGAAACATATTCACGGTAGTTTACGTACAGTATGAAAACAACAATAATAAAAAGAGGAAAGTGAAGTGCGGAGTAGACAGTATCAAAACATAATTCACATCCAGGTGAATAGATACACAGGCTAAGAGGAGTCAAGCGGAAGTTAGAAAATTTTTCGAGCCGCCAGTATGAAATACCAACTACACAACGTAATACTATTGAGACAAAAAGTCCTCCTATTTTTTCCTTTGTGTCTTCCTTATACTCAACAGATCCAATTAATAGAGATAGCAAGATGATGATGATGGTGAAGCTAAGAAGATTGTTTTGCACTCTGACAGGAAGCGATACCAATGGAAATGATGCATAAGAGATAAGCTTGTCAATAAAACAAGGAATACAGCTCTAAAATGCCGACAAATATTTGGTTTTTTTAAAGAGGACAAGCACTTCAGCTTGATAAGAGTTTTTATTGTTTTTTGGAAAAAAAATTAGAAAAAATGAAAACATTCATGAATTGTTATTCTTATTAAAACTTGGTACATGATGGACGCCAAGAGACGCGCTACACAAAATCGTATAGTTTGTGCGATGGCTGGGATACTGTACTACCCAGACGCCCAGACCGAAGCAGCTGGTTGTCTTAGGAGGGCGGCAGTCTCTCACCCCTGAACCTTTAACTTGAAGTCAAATCCAAAGATCTACGTAATGGAGCAGAGTCAGGAGCTAAGTTCCAGTGACTGAAAGAAGTTCATACGCCATTCGATCATTACAGATTCCAATGCCCATGTACACTACAGGCTTGGAATCAAGGTTTCCCAGCACCCCATTCTGTAGGTAGCTTAGTACGTCCGTCTGTGCAGTTGTAAGCCCGAGAAGTTCGCATTTGCCCATCCACTTTTGTGAGAAATACTCCTGCCGCGTAATGTTGGTAACCATATTTTTAAGCGATAAACACGGTAACCACCTTACAACTGTTTGATTATTTTCAATCTCTGTTATCCTACAGTGAAGTAACTTTTCATCACTAGGACAAAGTAACTATAGCAGACAATCAGAACATCAGGACATGACAGATTTGGTAACAGCAATCAAAATGAAATAGAATTCAATATATCAACTGCCTTTATCATCACACAGACATTAACACACTCACAGTAGTTCAAGCTGATTGTATAAGAAACTGTTTAACTAATTTCAAAGACTCCAAAGACTGAAACGAATGAATCTGCTTAAAACGAGCTAAACAGATGTTCTATGTGGCTTAAAGTCACATTGACCAATGATGAAATAGACATAATTAAGTGATTAAGTTCAGAGAACATCAAAATGTAAAATAGTGATAACAATTACGTCATATGTTCGTAACTTTTAGGTGTTTACAAATCTACTTATTAAATTTCTTTCTTTCTTTATTTTCACATCCCACTATTTACTGTTGAAAAGTTCATTTATCTAAGACTCACTTAATGTTTATCTTGTCATACTTTTATTCTTCACTTAACTTCTATTCTTACTTTCTTCAACTAAACTTTAGCTTATTTGTTTGGTGGCGATTAGCAGTGGAATGTAGGGTGCGCTTTGCTGCTATGATTGAGAGTATTCAACTCTATTTACCTTCAATCCTGGTGAGCGATGATGTTCTCACCTTCACAGTTGACGAGTCTCCAGCAGAAAGACATACGTTGTAGATTGCACTGCAAGTTACCACTAAATAAATAAGTGACTTCAAGTTAGTTATGGTAGTAGTGTTGAGACATCCATACAAGTGCATCGGTGGCATAGAGTGGTTAGGACGCTCGCCGACCATGCATATGGTCTGCGGTTTCTGTCCCCGGCCGACGCACACCTGATATCAATGGTTGGCCTGCTGAAAATTCCATACTTGTATCAAAAATACCGTGTGGAGTCAAGCTATGATAATAAAAAAAATAGTAGGCCATTTGTCAAAATAAACTTTAAAGTTAAGTAAAAATTGGATTAAAACACAATCCTGATAAATACAATGCTCAATTTAAACAACAAAAGATGCAAATAGAGATGTATGTATAACAGGACATTCCCTGTGTAATAACTAACGATATTGTTTGTCTACCTGGAAAGCAATTTAATTTAGTTCAAGCCTATTATATTTATATTATCATTTAATTCCTTTTGCGTTCCTAGTGGAGCGCAAGGCTTCAAGCTTGAGTTTTGAAGTTTCAGTAGAGGTGGTAGTTGCTAACCCCAAGACTGTTTGTCGGGGTTGCAACCGGCTAAGGGAGGTAAAGGTGTACGCCGGCCAGGAATCGAACCCCGAACCACATGCTTTGTTGGCGAGGATTCTACCGCTGAACCACTGATGTACAGTTTAAGTCTATAATGAAGTTAATTAACACGGAAATGAAGGTCGTTAGTATGACGCAACTGAATAGTAGAATGAGAAGGATTAAATGTATTAGTATACATAGAAAAACCACAAGGGTATATTTTAGAGTTAAGGTATAAAATTGGAAAGACAGGTTGCGTAAGAGTTATGTAATCTAGTCCACCAAAGGTCAAAAACAGTCAGGTTTTAAGTGTATGAATAAAGAGAGGAATGAAGGCTACGCAATCAGTTAGTCAAAAATACATATAAACTAACAAAAATCATGAATTGTTCCACCTAGACAAGGCAAGATTCAGGTTACATGTAGTTGATGAGAACCAGTGAAATACACTGGTATGATATTCTCGTTGACCTTATTTCGTTGAAGATCATCAAGGGAAAGGGTATTTCAAACCTAAGGCCAATGAAGATACATATAGCATGAAACGAAAGAGACTCTTTAATAGATAGATACGTTATTCGAAAGAAGAATAATAGACGCTTACCCTAACCCATGTTGTATTAATGCTTGTAGTGTACGTGATGGACTGGCATATTGAACTACTTCATCCATTATCACACTGACTTCATCACGTAAGAAGGCTGCAGCAGCTTCTCCACATTTACTTAATAATACACGTATGCATACATCCACGTGTGGATCCATTGCTCTATTTAATCCCTGGAATAAACTACCCATAGTTTGTACAGCTTGACGTGAAACCTTTCAAAAGTATAAATAAAGAATTGAAAATAAGTTTTAGAAATACAAGAAACCAAATATCACATTACAACACAACAGTAAGTGTATACTCAAGAGTTGAATAAAGAATACTTTAACATCTATCAATGGTTGATCACCTTGCAGATGAGGCTAATCAGCGGAAGTGATCATGATCACGTCCAACTAGCTACTGGAATTTCGAAAAGCGGAGATCTCATTACTTGTTTCGGTTTAGACAGAAGAAAAAAAAATTCAAATTCGTTTATTTTGGACCCACAGAAACATTCGTTCCAGCTAATATAGCTCATTGAGGCATTACGAGATGCAACTCCAACTGCCATTTCGGGACAGTAGTTGTCTTTTGGGAAATAAATGTGTAGCTTAAGAAGGGGGTGCGTACTGTGAAGAGTCCCAAACTAGGACGAAACAGCTGTCAAGTACTCCCAGCATGTTTTCCAATGGTTCTTTAACTGATCTCAGCTCATGGTAAAATTCTCTGACCAATCAAACAAAATTCCCTACAAAACCAATACTTGAAAAGGTGAGAATAGTTACATGGTATAGAACTACACGAGAAGCTGAGTAAAGTTTTTAATTGCTACACTAGCAGTTGTAAGCACAGAGAGAATGATTCATTCGTCAGCTCTTTCATCAGATTGGCTGTGAGCTGGAACCAGTGAATTTCAGTCAACATCACGTATACAGATTTAACGACACACAACACATGCTAAGAGATGTTTAAAGTTTTTCGCTCTGAATCGCGTGATTTCAAGTCACAACACAGCGGTCAAACAATTTGTACCCGCAATAACACTAATTAATTAATCCGTGCACTCATCTGTGACTCCAAATAATTCAGTGACAGCGTGTCTGACTACAGAACTGACTGCCGAGGTTTGGGATCTCAGAGGCGAAATCACTTTCAACAAGGTTACAGGTAACGTCTTGCTGACGAGTCACAGATGACAAGATTCCTGCAGATTGCTTGCAACCATCTAATAATAAGAATATATATCACACACTGGGTTATCCAACTATCTACAAAGTGAGATTAAACTAAAACATAATAAATCCATATTGTCATTAGACAATAGATGACTAATTATCAATGCTTAAAAAGCATCAGTTGCCATTAGAGCTATACACAAACAAACATTTAGTCTTATTGGCATATGAATTACACTTCAAAAAGAAAGACAATGTAAATCACTGCTAAAAATACCTTACACATTACACAATATTGACCAAGATGAATGTTGATTCTACTATAGTGACTAAAGTATGTGCGGAAAAAAGGACGAGTGTAATGTGACTACACGCACGCACGCACGCCGATTGATTATTTTTAGTAAAAAATTCCTATCAGGGGTGTTTTAACTTCAAGAAACTAAAACAAAAAAAAACCTCGAATAGTTTACTAACCGATCTTAAGGCCAGAAAAGAGGGGGGGTGTGGAGGTTGGCAGTGGAGCTAGAAACCTCATATCGCTACTGAAAGTTAAAAGCACAAAAAGAAACTGATTCTTCGCTGGAATTGGCATGACGCCTCGATTCGAGGATGGCTGAAGTCAATTAGGTGAAGGCTTCCACGAAACTAGTCGACTGATATATCTTCATGAGATGAAAGCAAAAGTAAGCATGAGGAAATAGAACATCCGCATGATGATTGAGGCTGGGAAAGTTGTTCAGATTGGAGGAGAAATGAGAAGATATCACATATAAAGTGTTAAGAATCTGGAAGTGGACTCTCCAAACTGTTAATTGGAGAGTGAATAATCTACTCCAGTCACACAGACAACAACCAACAGCACACTGAAAATGTTCTGACAGCAGTAGCATCGATGCCGTACATGTAGTGGAAACCAATATTCTCCAGGATAATGACAACAAGATTAAACTCGAGAGGAAGAAAAGTTTGAATTATACACCTGCAGGAGAAGAAGGATGCCAACAGGCAAATACAAACAGCAGTGGAAAAAACTCCAAATGGCGGCATCAGTACTGGCTGGAACTTACATGTTGTATATAAACATAACCCCAATCAAGATCAAACAAATGACTATCAGACATTTGAACTAAATCACTCACTTCTTATAACGTAAATATATTTCTGATAAAGTTGTCAGATCATAGGTGATTAATAATAATAAACAACTACAAAATAGACAAACAACTAAAAATTAAAACACAAATCTACTGGAATATTGAATGTACGAAGTGTTATTTTTAGAACATCAGTGAAACATGTTTTCAAACTGAACACAGTATGACGATAAAGTGTTTACCTAACGATAAAGAGGACTGAGTAGACTTCCTCCTTTAAGCATTGAAACATCATACTTGATGTAGTGTCAAGTGATTTAATTAACCAAAGTGGTTATAATTCATTTCCTTATTAAGAAGTTACACCTAAACTACATAAGTATGACCGATGGTATTTTCGATCGCAGTAGACCGGATCATGCGGTAGACCATGGGGAGTCAGAAGACAAGAATACATTGAGCTCACGAGAAGATTATAGAAAATAGGGACTTTGTGGACGATTTATATCGAAAGTCACACACACATACACACACATGAAGGTCTACATGTTAAAACCAACCAGGTGAGAGACTGAGCACCAAAGAAATGACCTCAAGTAAACGTAGAGAAGACAGATATGGTGAATATATCTAACCGACAACACAAACAAATCACCATCAAAGGGAAAAATTTGAAGGAAGTCCCCTCTTTCGCTTATCTACACAGCAGTTTCTCAACTACAGGTGGTACGGTCACAGATAGGATCGGAAAAGCAAGACATACACTCATTAATCTGATATCAGTGTGACAACCTTCTGCAGTCAGCATAAAGAACAAGATTCCGATTCTCAACATCAGTGATAAGTCAGTGCTTCTAAATGGTTCACAGACTTAATGCACACGTCCCTAAAAGTATTTCCAACATCTTGTTGCTGACTTTCATCAACAGCTACTTTCGCTACATACCGAAGATCAGATGGCCAGGAACGATCAGAAACAAGGAACGAATCTGGGAACGAATTAACCATTAACCTATAGCTCAAAAAATATACCGAAATAAATGAAGATAGATTGGACATACGCTGAGGAAACTGTCAAATGAAACCATCCGCCAGGCAAGCCCTAGATTGGTACTCAAATGGGAAACGGTGAGTTGGGCGTCTGAGGATGACATGGAAGAGATCCTGTGGGGAGGAGATGAGAGCTTACCGAAGATTATAGAGTCAACTAAAGAGGAATATAGAGAACAGGATGAAATGGAAATGTGCTGATGAAGTTCTATGCTGCACTCGGAACCTAAAGGGATAATAATAATTAATTACAGACCAACATAAATGACCGTCCCACCATTAATTAAGAGCAATTTATTCGTAGGTCAGAAAGCAGTTACACGCACAGCGAAGAACCCCTATTAAGGTCTCATATGAGAATAATGTGATTAAGCAACCATGACTGCAGAAGTGCAGAGTCTGCAGTTGACACTACGTCACTTAAATTAAAGAATCCCATCTCTATAACACAGCGAATCATAATAACTTTACTTTTCAGTCAACCACATACAGAGAGGACATTTTAATGTGTTAAAGATATTCCATTAGAAAAAATAAAATAAAAGTCACATACCTGAGAGCGTAAATTTCTACATTCTGTAATTACTGCCTGTACAGTTTGACTAAGTGTCTCTGAAGTGATAACCAATGTTGGAGCAGATGTAGATATATTGGTTGCAGGTTGTCTTGAGGAGCCTGCAGACGCTGAACCAGTTTGTGTAGTTTGTACTAAGTGTATTGATTGTTCACTGAATATCTGTGTTAATAATTCAAGTCCACTGACTTTATCCTCCCAATCATCTGAATTGACTAGATTAAGAGCACTTGGTAATGTTGGTGGAGTTCCAGAAAGACTTGCAACTGATTTACCACCTTTAAGTAATGGTTTATCTGGTAATGGATTTTTATCATAATCACTTAATTTCATAGATGTATCTCCACTATGGACTGAAGTATCTGTACAATGGGACATAGGGTGCATTGGACTAATACACGACAAAAAGAAAGAAAGGAAATTAGATACATAACAAGAATTCATACACAAGAAAGAAGTAAGCATGTCTACCCAATCTTATTGGTAACATATTCTACTGTATATACTGTACATATTCTATTGTATAGTACCTGATATGTTAGGCTTAAGGATTTAAGATCTTGTAGCCTATTTAAGTGTATTGTTGGAAGTTCAGTTGTGGTAGAATATTCGCCAAATACGTGAGATGTACGGGTTTGATTCCCAGCTGACTCACTCCTACACTATGCGTAGAGGGAAGATTGGGTGTGGGACTAACAACCTCAGTCCATAAAAATACAACCAACACTACTAATGAAACTTTAAAGTTCGAAGCCGTATGTCCAAGTTGGAACGCAAGGAATAAAGTCAAAAAAACTACAACAGAAATATGCCGGAATAGACTGGTTTAACATAGAATAACGTGGATTTCATGAATACAGGAGATGAGAGTGAATTCATGTGTACCATTAACAGAGATTTCGTGCCATTTCCCCAACAGTCTCACACTACTGATCCCTAGCACCTCAGACAGTCTACACCTCATAACAGTACTCGAACTAACAGTCGAATCACATTATGTTCTGGTGTGATAATGATCGATAAATGGCAACAGACTAGGAATTCAAAACCTTCAGTAATTAAACTGAATTCAAAATATGGTCAGGAGTTGTCTTGTAACTAAATTATTGATAGTATAGGTTTGATAACCTGTATACTATTGTCTCGAGTTCTGCACTCCTCAAGCGTTTGGTTTTCAAACTCAATTATCACTTAATAACATTCTGAGGACTTTAATCGAACTCAAGTTGTCTTGTACGGGATTATGGAGAGTTGTCATCTGAAGTGATGACAACCATCGAGTTTCGACAGTGATGTCCATTTTCCCCATTTTGTTTAATTTCATTATAGATGTACAAATAGATGTGATCCAAATCTACTTCAGCGACTTAGGGATTGACTCGTTACCAGGATATAGTCTTCTCGACATAAAATATGAGGATGATATTATCCTCCTAGGTGAAGAGGCTGACTAAATACAGAGGATTCTGAACGCCTAGAACAGAAATTTTGGCACGGTCAGCATACGAGTCACTCCAGTTAAATGTAAGATGATGTTTCAGGACTGGTCTGCATCGACTCTTAGTTTAAAAATAGACTAGAGTGATATGATTGACCGTGTTGACCACTCCATTTACTTGGGAAGTTGCGTTGGCCAAAATGAACTGGTTGCTGACGTAATTTCAGTGCGGATACAAAAGGCTCTTGTGGTGCTCGCGAACTTATTTCATTTTTGACGTAGACATGATATCAAATGGGACAGTAGTTTACTCTGTCCCTCTTTATGGTTTTGAGATTTAGCCAATGAAAGTAGAAGTCCTGAAGAGTTTATGGACTTTTGCACATAAGTGCTTGCGTTTTGTCTCCCAAGTTAAACAGTAATATATGGTAAGTAATATTGATGTTAGGCGTCAAGTGTTAGGCAAAGAGGCAAAGTCAGACGATGGGGATGTGCAGGTGTATATATTGAAATGATTTGTACACGTATTACACATTCTATACCATAGCTTTTCATGTCGAGCAATGTTAGCTGAAATAGGAGTAGCTCAGAAGAGGTCGAGTGATTGTTAAATAAAACCCTGGAATTAATCCAGGAAATAATTGACAGTTGGTTTGAGACACATAGGGAGCTGTAGACTGGTTGAGTGTGAGTTCTCATCATGTTAACATTCAATAGTTGGAGACTGTTGGTGACATGGAGCGAAATCACTCTTAGTGGCGCATATGTATTCACTTTTTACAAACTTCCGGATCCATAAAGTTGTAATTGTTTTTCATGTACTTTTTCTTTCTGTCGTAAATTTCCGTTGATTGTAGTTCCCTTGCATTTTTTTGCTGAACATTTGTTTGCAATAAAAATGTGGCAAATTGAACTCCTGTACTTCTGTTCAAAGTTCTAAGTTGACAATTAGTGAGTCGGTCATTTAATTAATTAAAAGCACCTTGATTTATTATTATTCCCTTGGGTTCCAAGTGGAACTTACGACTTCACTTCCTTCTATTTTTTTTCTCCTCTCCAGCTGGGTTCACGATTAACCATAATCTCTCATCTCCTCCTCCTCACCACACAATCTCCTCCATGTCACCCTCGCACCGACAACCCACTCGTCACTTCCCATTCGGATTCCACTCGAACAATGGCCTGCATTGAGCGCGGTGTCATTCAACGGCCTCCTCAACATATGCCCGATCATCTCCATTTTCTCCTACATATTTGTTGAGCAATCGGCTCTCGCCCGTTGGTTGGTTTTCAGCTAGAGTTTCTTGTTACTAATTCTTTCTGGCCGGTATTTGATCTTCCGTATGATCTTCATCAGTGCAGGTTTCTGACTCGTATAGAATGACCGACTTGCCATTGGTGTTAAAAATGCGAATCTTGTTCCCTATGTTCCTTAATTTAGACTTCTTTAATTAGTCAGACTAGTCCATTGAAAATCAGATGTCTTGAAATGCAAGCGATCAGTAATCAGCACAATAAAATCTACTGTAAGACAATAAAACGGTTCAAACCATATATATATATATATATATATTCATAGTGATGCACATGACAGCTATTATACAATATTTAAAAAACATCGATTTAAAACTATAAGAAGTTTAATGTTAGAAAGCATTTTCGTAATCGTAATTCTAACTTAAACCAGCTTTTAAACACATCTCCAACCTGAATTAATTTCGGAACAGAAATCTACTTTACTCATTACTACTACCACTGTTAGTATTATTATTATTATTACTACGTTATTTAGAACAGTTGCATTCGGCATTTACTACATTGACTGGAATGGATATTCTTGCAGACTTTACCATGCTAAATAGCAGTCAGGCTAAAAGTAGTCATAGTGTAATTCGCTTCTATTGAGCGGTAGGTCTGAGGGTGAAGTCGTATTTCTGCGATTGAGGTTGGCAACACCAAGTAAGATGTTTTCTTCAGACGACGATTAAACCAGTTATGCTACCCTTCAGTTTGGTAGAGTCGAGGATAGAATATATCACCTCGAAAAATTGTGTATACCTTCTTACTGTGTGGTCAGTGGTAAGGTTTTTGTACCTCTCCATACGAACGATATATGACAGGCCTTAAGCTTTCGTCTCCCTGACTCTGCAATCATGAGAAATAAATGCTCTGTCTCAGTTAGCAAATTAAAAATAGTTTCCCAATTCATAATTTATTCGCTTTTGGAATTGGTTGTTGTCTGTGGACAAATCATTATTCTTCATCAATTAACTAAATATTATCCTGACTGTTTTGTGATAGTGTTTGTTCAAGAGTGAATGACAGTGGAATCCATGAGAATAATTCATTTCCTAGTAGGAACATTGTCATTTAGATATATCTGCCCAAACTAAGCTTCAAATATGAATCAACGACTAGGCAATTGAAGACAAAGCCATGTAAATCTAAAACCAGTGTGCATATCTGTTACACTTAGAATGAGGAGCGAAATTCGGATTCTGAATACTGATGTCAAGTGAGTCAGTGGTTCTGTATGGTACGTCACCAAGTGCATTTACAACTGTAAACTGCAGACTGTTATCAACAGCTGCCTTCATTGCCTCCATATTGAAGATCAGATAGCCGACCAGAAAGTATTAGCAAACTCAACAAATATGCCGAAGGAAATCGAGAAGAATTGGACACAGTCTAGGGGAGACGATTGAGTGATATCGCGTGCCAGGCTCTCAAGTATAATCCTAATGGAAAAAGGAGAGCTGGTCGTTCGAGGGTGACACGGAAGAGATCATGTGAAGAAGAGATGCAAGCTTATGGGAAATCATGAAGCTAGTTGAAGAAGACAGGATGAAATTGAGATGTTCAAATGGAAGCCCTATGTTCCACTTGGAACTCAAGGCAATAATAGTAATAGCAGTAGATTACTGAGACAACACAGATCACAAAAAATTCATCTGTTCTATGCTTTGCAAGGGGTACTTCTTGTGATTCAGCAGTCTGATGTATAATGTTTGAGCTTACGAGTCTTAACGACATGATACCTATAACATCCGCATGAGGCTAGAAGTGTATGTCTTGGATTTCACATTCCAGTCCTCATAAAAATGCAAATAACATTGTTTCTTTTGTTTTATTTGACAAGAGACTATAAAAGGGAGTTACACTTTGTAATAAATAAAATGGGTGAAATAAATTTTATAAACTGGAGAGGTCAGTGACAAATTTTCTAAACTAAAATAACTCAAAGATCACACTAAATTCCAGCTTAGTTAACAACGTAGAATATTGCAGTCTACAACATCAACTACTGCTACTCCTAGTGTCACTTCAGTAGACATCAATCTTGTACAAGAAATAACACCTGTACTTTTGTTTACCAATCAGCATAGAAGTAAAACATTGTATATTTAAAGCATTAACATGAATTTAATAATAATATTATTATTATAAACCTAAGATACGAGCATATATAATATGTATATTTAAATAAGTAAATGGAATATTGTTGTCATATTGTTAAAGGTGTTAAAGTATAAAGAAAGTAGGATGACCTTCTTCTTCTTAAATGTTAAAATCAACAATTCAATTTAGAATACAAATACAAACAGTTGTGTTGCTAGGCTACACAAATAAATAAATTAGAATTAGCACAAACTAAAATTTGGACACATTCAACGTTATACATATATATAAATATATAATATATCGCCTTGGTGAGTTTGTACTCTAGATTGTTTGGTAGGTAAATAGGCAATAAAAACACTAATGATAACAATATTCAATGTTCAAAATAGATGAAGGTTAATACTTAAGATGTTTATAAATTGAAGTAATTTAGTGGATGGTGACTAACAGTGGAATCCAGCATGCGCGATTAATCGTCTTATTTGGGACTCGTCAGCTGGTGGATGTCCCTGCACTCCCCAGTGACTGAGTGAGTGATGGTGTTAGCCACACTCACAATCTTGCCTACGACCCATCGTTTCAAACGCCACCGTGTTATCCTCTAGACCACTTGGGCCATGAGAGCCATCTCTTGTGCAATTGGTATCAGTTCTTATTGTGTAATTCAATTTGAACTTTCCCATTGATTGATTACTTCAAGTTAAATCCTCAGACATCGTCGAAGCATCCGCCGACATGTCGTCGACAGATACCGAGATCAACAAGACGATATTTTTTTAATTAAATTTTTAAAATTAAACAACACGATAAATTCATTGTTTTATTTTTACATAAAATGACTTACTCATTCGAATTTCCTGAATTATTGATAACAGTACTATTCACAGAACCTCTTGATAAAGAGTTTTCAGCGGGTAGACGACGCCTTGTTGAAGACGCTGTAGATACACCACTGCCACCAGTCATAATATTTGACTTTAAATTTGGCGAACTTTCTTCTGGTTTTGAGGATAAATTTAAACGGGAAGAGCTGTTCGACGATGGAGGTGGCCATGTTGAATGGCTAGGAGGATGTTCACTTGAATCTAATCGGGAGACTATTAAAGAAAATAATAGGAATAATAACTAAAAAACAACCAAAAAACTTTACTGTAAAAAGTGTAAGAGGAGAAAAATGAAGAGAAAGGTTATATTTAAAGTGAACACCTCATACTGTTCATAAATTGAAACGTATTTCTACTTCAAGAAGAATATACTAGCAATTAGAAATTTGAATATCTCACTACATTACACATGACAGTCATATATTTCAATAATTCTTAACTTTTAGGTGTTCGCTGTTCAGTCTCTACTGGTTTCAGTGGAGTTGTGTTCTCTGGGTGGAATAGGGTGGAATTGCAAGGCTTTCATCGTCGTTAAGAGAAAAAAAAACTTTAGCTTCAGCATTAAACCCTATTCAGCTTACAGAACTCAATTACACCGATATCATCCCACTAGAGGTCTAAATCTTCCTCCATTATTTCCATAATACACACAACTGATTTCTTATATTTTATTTTAATTCTTTAAGTCCCGAGTGCAACATACGGCTTATAGCTAGAGCTTTGAAGTTTCGGTAGCAGTGGTGTTTATTTTTACGAGTTGGGTTTGCTAGCCTGACGCCCAACCTTCCCTCTTTACCGAACTTACTACCGGTTGCTAACTGAGATCTAAGAGTGCGTCGGCCGAGGATAGAACCCCGGGTCACAAGCGTGGTTGGCTAGTGTTCTACCGCTAAACCACCGACAATTCCATCTTACTGTGTTCGAATCGAAATGACAATATTTTTGTTGTTGTT